GGGGACGGCGGCGCCTCCGCGTCAGGCGGGAGCGCGGGCTCTCAGGAGCCAAGAGGCGCAGACGACCGCGGGGCGCGGAGCCTACCGAGTCCGGGGCGCGGCGGCGGCGAGGGAGGCGAGGGCGACGGGGCCGCGCGAGGAACGCGCGCAGGAGGCAGCGGAGTGCGGGCCGAGTGCGGGCGCAGCGCCGCGGCGAGGGCGGGAAGTGCGGCCGGCGGGGCGGCGGGAGCGAAGTCGGTGTGGGACGACGACGCGGGGGGCCCGAGAGTGAGGGGCGGAGGCAGCGGGAGGCGTGGGCAAGGAGCAAGCAGGCGCGGTGCGAGGGAGCGCAAGCCAGGCAGACGTGGGGGGTGGATCCGTGGGGCCGGGGATGTGCTGAGGTCCTGGGCTCCAGGACCCCGAAGGTGGCATGTGCGTCTGTCATGGCCCCACATTAAGTGGCACGGGATATTTCATCACTCTCAAAACAGAGTCCACCCAACCTTCTTAAAATTCCTACATAAATAAAATTTGAAACCTAAAATATAGTCAAGCATGAGGCTAGAAGGTGCCCCGGGCAATGGTCTCTGCGAAGAAACAAATATGCACTTGCTGCGGTCCTGGGAGACACTTGGCTAAGATGAGCTATTGAACTTAGCGGTGGCTGGGGGTGTTTGGTAGCTGCAGGGAGACCCTCCTACTTAGGTTCCTTCTGCAGCCCCTCCTCTCTCAGCCCCTCTGCTGGTATCTTCAACAGTTTCAACCAAATATTTTTTTTTTCACCTCAAACTGGTCTCTGAGCTCCTGCACGGGAGTGCCCTGAGGGATCTGTTCCAAACGCGGATCCCCGGACCCCACTTTCCCGTCGGGGTGATGTATGGGACCCCTTGGTCAGGCACAACCCTGAAAACATGGCAAGCCCTGCTGATAGGGGAGGGGGGTTCCTGCGAGTTGTTGGCTTCCATTGTACCTTAGAGCCCTAAGGAGGTGGGGAGGAAGAGTCAAGGGGAGGGGCATCTCCATCCCTGCTTCTAGGTTCTGTCCCCACTTCAGTCCCAGAGGCTCAAATGTCTGGGCATAGTCCCTGGAGCCTTGGGGAGGGGTCCGGAGGGATGTGCAAGATTTTCACAAGCAGAGATGTAGATATAAAGAACTTTCTGGAAGGAGGCGACCACAGGGACAAAATGATGCGAGTATAAGGGTTCAGAGCACAGGCTTAGTCTCAGGAGTTGGATTTTTCATACTGTGCTCTGCTGCTTCAGAGCAGCCAATGCGGTGGCAGGCTCATACTGGGGCATACGCAATTATGCAGTGATATTGTGGCGCCATGAGGCTGGTGGTTGATAGCAACTCTGCACACACGCTCCTCCTCTTGACAAAAATGTAGGTGATGCAGGGTGGGTGGCTGCGTGGGAAGGTGGATTTACTTTTCTGACCAATGAAGGGAACCCATGGAGCTACTTTGTTGCTGCTTCCTCCTCTTGTTTGCTGATTTTTCTCCTCCCTTCCCCCCACCTCAAGTGCACAAATCCAAGTACAAACCGTGGGTCCTTCCCACCACTCCAGTTCAGGTGCTGCATTCCAGTGCTCCCCAGCAATCACCTGTACCCCAGTTCTGATTCCTCCTCATCTCATTCATCCAATAGCAACAGAAGAGGTTGCATCTGCTGGTGGTGGTGAACATGAAATTAGGGAAAGCTTCATGGAGGAGGCTTCATTTTGTTTCCACGGGGAGTGGGGGTGGGGAATGGATATTTCAGAGACAGCCATATGTGAAAAGGCATGGAGAGTATAGAGAAGCAGTTCACAAACCTTATTGCACATTAAAATCACAGGGACAGCTTAATAAATATGCATATACCTTGACCCTATCCCTAAAGATTTGATGCAGATGGTTGTGGACCACTCTTTGAGAAACACTAGTTTAGGCTATTCTGACCCAGGTCAGGGCAGGGTGTGTTGCAGGTAGGAGATTAACATCTTCAGTGTACTTCAGGGTTACCTTGAAAATGGACCCCTATCCAGGCGAATATTGTGAAAACCTTAGCAATTAAAGAGGCTGTGATCAGCTTGAGGTCAAAGCAAAGCATGGCTAGACAGAGAAACTGTACCTATTAAGTATATAGAGCTTATATTTTACTATATAACCTTATGCCTTTCCTATATTATTATGCTAACAATCATTTTTGCAAAACATTTACAAATATTATCTTTTTAATCTACCATTATATTAAGTACTATTATAATCTGCATTTTATAGATGAGGAAAATGAGGCTTGGAGAGCTTATGATTTTGTCTAGTCAGTGAATTACTAAGTGATGGATGCAGGATTCAAACCCGAGTAGTCTGAATCCACATTGCATGTTCTGTGCCACTTCTCAGAGCCTGAGGGTATGTCAGGGGTTGAGTGAAAGGTTCTGCTGGTGATAGAGATTTAAGCCTCATGTCATGGCACCACCAGAAGTGGTGGAATATGGCTGTGGACATCAGTGGAAGGTGGACACCATGTGTAAAGACACTGAAAGCAGCTGTGAGAGATTCAGGGATTCAGCCTGTGATCAATGGCAAGGTTTGCTGAAAGGGGCAGCTCTATAGCTCTTCTGGCGCAGCAGCAAGACAGACTAGCAAGGACCAGTGTAGGTGATCCTGTAGTAGAATGAACAATGGGGGTATCCATAGCAAACAAGAAGAACTAAGGACTACATTCCTCTCCTTTTTCCTGGCACCAAGCAAGCTCAGAATCTAATACTATCCCACAGAAAGGGGAAGGAACCCTTTGAAATTACTGATATTGGACTTTCTACCAGCCAGGTGTGTGCAGTTTGGACTCAAATGCAATTTGGTTTAGAAAAACAAAGCAATGTGCTGTATCTTCCTCCCGTGTTTCATGAGAGAAGATAATACCCATTACCCAGGGCTCACACGAACAAGAAGAGGGCTTTGTATGCTCTGGGGGGTGTGATATCACAGATAGTAGAATGACAACCCCTTACATACTTAGTATAATCCCACAGTCATAATACAAGGCCCTTATATCTGCAGTAGTGGGGGATGGATATTATAACTGTCAAAACATCATAGAGCTACAGGAAGGGAGACTTCCAGTTCTGGCAAAGATAAAACATCCCTATTCCTTCCAGGTCCTCACTCTTAGAATTAAAAAAAACCCTGGCCATAGCACAGCAAACAAGTAAAAGACGTCTCTGAAAGGTGGAAAGAAGTCAGAAGGACTAAGAATCTCAGAATTTGAGGAAAGACAGGGTGGTGAATTCCCTGAATTTCTTTATCGTGGCCCATATATCCCAGACAGGGAGTTGCAGCAACTCCAACACAGAACTTTCAACAGGCACAGATAATAAAACCCCCCAGGAATGCCTGTTCCCCCTAGGCAAAGGATCTGGAAAAGTGAGGCCTAACAACAGAAAACCTTTTTGGCCATACCTACCCTACTCCAGCCAAACACTAACAGAAAAACCATATCACCTCTCCCAACCCCTACTGTTTCAGTGGGGCCAAGTGGGGAGCTGATCTTCCATCCTCAAGATGGCAGAAGCAGGTTTTATACCCTGATTCCCCTGCAGGGATAGTGTAGTGTCAGTGTGGTCCTGAGGTGAGCAGACCTCCACCCACACTGGCAACAAAGAGACTTAAGGAGAGGGTTCAAGGATGGGCTAATCACTACTCTGCCTCACCTCCCTCCTCTTCACCAGTGCCAGCAGGGCTCAGGGAGGAGCTGAGCTTCTATCTACTCCCAGCATCAATAAGACTGAGCAAGGCAGTGAGAGTCAGAGCTAGTTAGCACTCCAACTTTCCCCCACCCTTGGTATCAGCGGGGAGCTGAACCTCCACAACCACCCAGCAGCAAAGAGATTGAGCAAGGGGCTGGGAAGCAGGGCTAGTCCTGTTCCCCAAGAAATAGTGAAATATGTATACCTGACAGATTCAAGAAACTAAGCAAATAGCATAAGCCCAAATAAATCCACATCAAGACACATTAAAATTAAACTTCTGAGGGGGCCGGCCCAGTGGCATAGTGGTTAAGTTCACACGCTCCACTTCAGTGGCCCAGGGTTCACAGGTTTGGATCCCAGGCATGGACCTACGCACCGCTGATCAAGCCATGCTGTGGCAGCATCCCACATACAAAATAGAGAAATATGGGCATGGTGTCAGCCCAGGGCCAATCTTCCTCAGCAAAAAAGAGGAGAATTGGCAACAGATATTAGCTCAGGGCTAATCTTCCTCACCAAACAAACAAAAAAAAATTAAACTTCTGAAAACTAAAGACAAAGAAAAAATCTTAAAAGCAAACAGAGAGAAATGACACATTACCTAGAGGGGAAAATCAAATTGAATGGCAGGAGATTTCTTATCTAAAATGACAGAGGCCAGAAAGAAGGGCTGAAAAGAAAAGATATGTCAACTGAAAATTCTATATCCAGTAAAAAAATTTAGGAATAAGAAGAAAGAAAGACATTCTCATATGAAGGAAAACTAAGAGAATTTGTTGCTAGAAAACCTCCTGTGAAGGATGGCTAAAGAAAGTTCTCTAGATAGAATGGTAATCATAAAAGAAGACTTGGAATTTTAGAAAAGAAAGAAGAATATCAAAATGGATAAAAACATGATCAAATATAATAGACTACCCTACATATTATGAGTTTCTTAAATCATATTTGATGTTTGAGGCAGAAATTATTGCACTATCTGATGTGGTAATCAATGTATATAGAGGGAATACTTACAACATTGATATTTAAAAGTTGGTAAGGTAAAGAGAACTTAATGGAGGTAAGGTTTCCATACTTCATTCAAGATGGTAAAACATTGATATCAGTA